AGTGCTATACTCTCATGTATCATTTCACTTAAAAAAGTGCATACAAACAGTGAAAAGGCATCCAAACAATAAATATACATCCTCTGTCTAAATATGGGATAAAATCAAGGAAAACATGACTCATCAAGCTGTTATAAATGCATCCATATAGGTGTCATTTCTGCTGTAATGACATTAAACATGTAGACAGCAAACAAACAACACAAGTACACTTTGTTCAGCTCAGTACACTTCTGCATCTGCATCTCATGAAGAACCCCCTCGTTCAATGAACAGGTGGGGAGGTCTTGCCAGGAGCTAGCATGTTCAGTGAACAGATTACTATCGGACATCAAACCAGGGCTATTAAGACCACTTCTCTCAGACAGGAGTTTAATGCAATGTTTATGTGATTCCCTGCCCCCATATGGCCCACAGCTATGCAGGCAAGAGACATCCTGTGACAGCAAATCGTTGGCTAGTCATAAAGAATGATTCTGATTTTAGGTTCACTAGAGAACACTTTGATGAATACTGTTCCTTTATACAGCTTAAATGAAGAATGGTCCATTTGTCCACAGTCTTTACAGTCCTTTATTATAAGCAGTGTGAATGAGAAGCCCTCAGCCCTGGCCTTCACCATATGAGGGCCTAAGTGTGTAGATGTAAGCTGTAGCTGGATATTAGACATTTGATTTGACATTAATGAAGCATGCACATTTGGTTGATTTTGTACTATCAATACACTGTTAATGTGTGCAAATCTTCATATTTGAGTTACCATTTCCTGGTCCTTGGTTGGGGGTAGTACAGACAAAATAATTGGACTAAGGCAGCAGCAGGTTTAAATACTTCCCACTAGGCCTGGACTGCACCAAGTGCCCAATATATGGGAGGGGGGAGTTTTGGAGAAATATATTGTTTATTTGTTACATTTTTATGTGTCAAATTATGTTTGACATAGTTCAGTTTGATGTATTTTGAGTTTTCTTGTCTTTTGTTGATCTGTTTTATGGCAAAGTTTGTGTGATATTGATGTTGTTTGCTTTTTGCCTCATCTTTGGGTAAATATTTTTTTAAATTTAAATGCTCCGTTCCCTGACAGTTGATGGTCCAGCAGTGAAATGGTCCAGTCAGGTACACAGATTTTTTATTATTCTCCCCTTTGGAGAGTATTGCATCATCTGAACTCTTAACAGGTGAGTCTCAGCTTCACCATATGTCTAGACTGGAAAAGCTTTCAGACAGTGATGATATTGATGTTGTTTGTATTTTTTCCTTATGTTTTTTGAAATTGAAATACTGTGTCCTCTGCCTTACTGTTAGGTTCCTGACAGTAAGCTAAGAGTATTTTATTTTATTTCTATCCTGCTTAAATATTAAACACTTTATAATCAAATCTATGAAGCTCATCATTTACATATAGTTGTGGTTGTTTGGTAATTGGCTTTATGTTAATCACCAGTCACTTGATAAACTGTATTAAGACACTTTGCTGTAAAGCTTTTGACACCGTGCTTTTATAGTATCCAAGGTAAAGATACTGTACATTCATTTGAAGTAATATTTTTACATGATATATCTGAGCATGGTAATATTGCAGGTCATAGTTAACTATAGTGTATCATTCTAATCTTTATGGCAGCATTAGATTCAATGGAGCAAGATATACTGTTTGACTCCAGGCATAAAATCAAACAATCTTGGTAAACCAACTAAAAACACAGTGTTAATAGTTGATGGCATGGCTCATTCCTCCCATGATGGGTTCGACCTGTCAGGATCAAGATTTTAGCCACTCTGGAACATCAGAGAGAAGACGAGGACAAGTAAACAAAGATAACAATGTGTACTATTTGTCATTGCCTATCAACTCTCCGCTGAGACTTCCCATCAGTAACAATGTCAACAGCTCAAATACCTGGAAGATGATGGTGCCACAAAAGAAGGAAAAAATTAACTTAACTAAGTTAATAGTTTGACAGGGATAGTCTGCTTGCCCTATTAATATACAGTGCATTTTAAATGATCCTTTGATGTAATATAGCTAGCTTTACAGATAAAATGTAACATTTATTAAACTAAAACAAAATGCTTGTTTAAGATCTACTTAGTAATTTTACTATTATGAAATATGTAGTTATTTACTTGTGTTGCTCACTTGTGCCAGGGTAAACCTTGTGTTTTCAAGTTGTATGGCACTGATCATTTATTGTGACCTTGACAGTTGCAATTGAAATCCAATGACTCTCTGGTGTGGTAGAGAGGACCTCAAAGTAATAGATAATTAAGTGTTCTTGTTTGCTGGCTTCAGAAATGGGTTCTTCTTCTCAGGCGTAAGGGGAAAGAAAAGGAAAAAAACATTATCTACTTTTGTGTTAGTCCTGTCTTTACTTTAGTAAGATGGCACATCAGAGTGGTTTAAATACAAGTTAAACAAAATATGAGGATTTGAATACAAAATTAAATGCCAATATCTTTCTGATAAGAACTACATTATCTAACTAAAAGTAAAAAAAAGAATGTAAACAATGGGTTATGCTAGCATGGCCATTCTTTTCTTTAACCATGGCCATAACTTCTTACAATGTCTGATGTAAGCAAGAGTCAACAGTGCATGCACAAGATGTCCAGATATTTTTAAACAAATATCAGGGTTTTGTAATGAAGAAACATATCACCCAGTGTTTATGAGCAACAGAGGAGATCGATGGCACAGTAGAAAAAGTTACTCCAGGACTGACAGATGTTAACCATGAATAGAGTCAGTTCATTGTTGGTTTTAGTTTCTGTATGGGGACTGTTGAAAATACTGTTAATACAGAAAATGGCCGACTATTCTTTAATTTTAATTTGTTTATTACATTCCTTTCTGTATTCTGTCATGTTCTTGTCATTTAAGAAATCACAGTTTCCTGAATATATCTTTTTATGATGAAGAAACATGAACTGTCTCTAGTAGATAATGTGTCAGATATTAGAACCTTTTGAAGTAACAACAAAGAATAGCATACTCATTTTAAAAGCTGTTAATACGTGGCAGATCCAGTCTTGCAGACGGTCTGGATCTGTTGAACAGTTAATGGCAGCTGTCTGAGGAGCTTTGAAGTACTCCGCCTGGACAGAAGCTGAAGAGCGATTTAACAGCGGGGTACAATCCAATCTAAAAACCCATGTTACTGGAGAGCGACCTCATATAAAAGGTGAGGTAAACATTGGTAATGCTGGCCAAAAAAGACTCAATATCACTTTGATGCCAGAGTCTGAATGCAGGCAAACTTGATCATGCCATTCACCAAGCAGGGGGTTTTCTATTTTACGTGAAACAACAGAAATATCTTCCAATTTAGTTTAATGGCTTTTGCAAAGCATCAGAATTGTGCACTATATCACTGTCTTCTGGCAAGTCATGGTTTCATGGACAGACAGTTTTTCAAAAACATGGCTGGTTACTCAGTTTTCTCTCAGCAGGGTGAAACTCAATTCTGTTGCTTTCAGGTGTGTTATGTCTCATTTGATGTTTCCACAGGGCTGATCACACTGTAGAGGTGTTGTAATTATCTCTTGGCTGCTATACTGGTACCACTGTTCATAAGTAACACCAACAAGGTAGTGGTGCACTTAGACAAATTTTAGACTTGTGCAGTTGATTGGCTCCAGAAAAGTATGATAACAACAACAACAGCGCTGGCCAGTCAAAGGTGAAGTAAACTTTGCAGATCCTGGTCAAAAAAAGCTCTCAGAATATAAGTCTGGCCAAACCTATGGTGCAGTCAGGTGCTGCTGAGTTTCTGATGCCAGTCTCTGAATAAATGCGGTTCTTCAAACAGGGGTACATTTGAATGAGTTTGCTACTTTACACTGAACAATAGTGATGTGTTTACTTCTTCCAATTAAGCTTCATGGCAATTGGGGAAAATGCCAAAAGTGTCTCCTGTTAAACCTTGTGTTGCATTTAAGTAAATAAATAATGAAAGCTGAAGGCAGATTTCACATTTTAAATGTACCTCCCTCTGATTTTTGGTGGTATCGCCCCCACATAATGGTTGGAGTATTAACAAAAGACGAAGAAAAAGAAGCACTTTCAAGCATGAGCAGGATTTGGCCAATTCATTGTCTCATGTGTCTGTTTATTGATTCCTTTCTCCACTTTGTTATGAATTCTGCACTTTCTCTCTTTTCATGTTTAGTTTTTTAGCAGACTTTAAAAATCTTTTATTGTGAATCAGTTTTTGAACATTAATCCGCCCACATTCATGTTATATGGCACATCTTTAGCTTAATTTTACTATACACACATTTTACTACACACACTCATATTGTCTCCTCATATTGCTGTTGTACTGTGATGCCTAGAACAGCTGTTACTATTAAATATTACTTGATCAATTGATTTTGATTTGAAAAATGTGATTACTTGATACGTACTCATGCTTTATTTAATGGTCACAGTTTCTCTTTTAAATGTCATAGAAGTTTGAATGACATTTCATGTTTTTCATTAAGGACATAAACATACTGTGTGAATGTGTAAAGTAGACTGATTATGCAAACCTGCTATTTATTATATTTTTAAAGCACAGTAAACAATAACCACTGACAGATTCCATTTTACTGTGACTCACAGCAACACTCTTACTGTGGGTTGCTATTTAGTGCCCTCCTGTGTTAACATGGTAAAACACATGCAGACAGTCAGGATAAAGGATACCAACATTTTTGATTCATGATCCATAGCAAGTATTTGATCATGAAAACGGAAATGCCACTTTGCTGGATGGATCTTCATTCCACTCTTATATAGCCTGACAACAAAGCTGTACCCACACAGTTCCAAAATAATGTTACTTTATATATTTAATTTATCTATCTACCTATCTATCTATTCATCCTTTATCTCTCTGTCTATCTGTTTGTTTGTCCGTCCTGAATTACCCGTATTTATCCTGTTCGCTGTACTAAAGAGCAGACAGTGAGAAGCGGTGCGAGCAAGAGTACGGCTGATTATTACTTCAGAAAAATGACAATGCTGTCAAAATGATTCATCATTCCTTTTTGGAGGAAAACACTGGTAAAAGGTGACAAGATGACAAACGTAAATGCATATAAAAATGAAGTGTTTGATCAAATGAAATTTAAGGATGATTACACATTGGGTCTTGAGTTCACAGTTTTGGCCATTGTTCAGTTATGATAACACTGTTCTCAAGTTCAAGCTGGTCTTTGCCACAGATAACCTTTCTGACATGCAGCAGGCCTACAAACCACAAAGTGACACTGAACTGCGTGGGAAGAAAATGATGCATGTTTATTTCACACTTAGGAACTGAGTGTGCTTGTATGATAGATTCAACTATAGGAAACTCTTAGAAGACATGAGAACAAGTGAGAACCGCATTGTTTTTTCTTTGTAATCACACTTTATTCATACAGAAAGTGCTCCGAGTTGGTGACCTTTTCAATGTTCAGATACAGCAGATTCCAATAGTAGTGAGCTCTATTAGTAAATCTAAGTCACATTATACGACTTACTATACGGTACAGTTACAGATGGTTGTGTTAAACTATTTAATTTGCTTTTAGACACCAAAATAAGAGATTTTGTTCTAGAATGACAGCATCACATTATAGTTATAAGTTATAATTAGTTGACACACTGTTAAATGAAAGTACAGATGTATCATGGTCAGTAGGTTCAGCTGTGGCTGGCAGATATTCACTGCTGCATCACTGCTTCTGTTATTTTCCACTTTTTAACACTGTCTGTATTGCTTTTATCCACTCCTTCCTTTCTTCGCCTGTAGCCGCTTGGAGGAAGTAATGAATCTCATCTGAGGTGATGATCTCAAAGAGGTTGCCATCAATGTCGTATTTTTTGGCTGGAACCACAAAAAAGATGAGAAAAGGGAGAGGGAAAAGGGATGACTTAAAAAAAATACTGACAGTAAACACCAGCTATATTTTCTGATCATTGTGTGGAAGCAACAGGACATGTGTATCCTGAGGCAGTGGTCTCACACACCATCAGGGACAAACTCCACAGCTGTCACCACAGACCCACGGAGGGGGATCGAGCCCAGAGGATCATCACCCTGACACCAAGAAACAAAGGAGATAAAAGAAAGAAGAAATGATGCTGAACAAAATATGCAATTAGAGGGAGATCTGCTGAAATTTTACTTGTGTCTTAATCAGTCATATACAATTTAATTCAGTGTATTTACCTTTGTAGGATCATAATAATGCATATAAGCAGGGTCATCTCTCAGTACAAACTTTCTGACCTTCCAGTTTTTTCTCTTGTGTCCCTGTGACAAAAAAAAGAACAATCTGCATTGTCTGATTTTCTGAAGCTGAATAGCAGTCATGACCTTTGTGTCAAGCAAAGCAGAAGCAGACTCTTTCAGTAAATGTGATAAATTAGTTAACCAAATTATAATAACAAAACATTCATGGTTCCCCCGCTGGGCGGCTGTGTGTTATTTTGTTATCGTGACCACTAATTTAAAAATGTAATGTTTGCATAAACATTCTAGAAAAATGGCTTCTCATCAGGAAATTATTACTATTACTGACACATTTTATTAAACCTTATAAATCAATAGTGTAGATGCATGAAGTCATATTCACCTGTTTAAGTAAGCAGCCTTGTTTTATGATATTTCCTCTGAATTCTTCCTTCACAAGCACGTCTTCATCACTGGAGTAGCCTTCACAGAAGAACCCACTATCTGCCTGAAACACCGTAAGCCCACGTGATTATTCCCCACCTTATTGACCTTATTTTAAATATTCTTTTTTAAATAATGACTTTATGACATTCAGCTAAACTTACAAAGTAGTAAAGAGCATTTGTCTGATCTAAGAAAGATGAGTGTTCTCCACTCTCAGCTCCTTCTTTTGACATGTCTCCTGCAGGCTGTAGAAAACCCTCATTCAGGAGCCCTGTTGCTAACATGAGGGCCTCGGGCCTATTTCTGGCTTTCCCCTTTGAAATCAGCCAGTCCACCACAGTTGCACCTGCACAAAGATAGAGAAGGAGAAAAAAGTTGTGGAACATTAAAAAAAAAAAAAAATCTCTTTCCACACCTGTAACACCAGTAAAATGAAGACAGCAGTACCGATGAAGCAGTGGTTGAAGATTCTATTCTCCTGCTCCAGTTTTAACTCTTTCACTCCATCATCCTGGTCTTTCATCAGAAAGTACAGCTCACTGAGAAATCACAGTGGAGACACTGTCAACATGTATCGCCAAATTATCATTCTACCATTATGAGCAAGCAATTATCCATTTGCCAAACGTCCTCCTAGAGTGACTGTCCATTCAAAACTTTGCAATCATAAGATGGCACAGCTCTCAGACCAGCTGTTATGGCTTCAAACCCCAGTTGAGCATTAAGTAATTCATTCACATCATTTGTCTTGATCCTCGCTCCCTTCTTTGTAGTTTGTGAAACATTCTGTTTCAAACTGCAGGAACAGCAACGCATTAATCTAATCTATATATCGTGTGTCCATGTATAATTTCCTGTAGTAAGCTGAGAATCCAAACATATCTCACATTAGTGTTAGCCTCAGTCTTTTTTTATTAGTCTCAAAACTCATGCATTAGCTTAATTAGCTAGAAGGACAAAATTTTGTTCAGTTCATATAAAAAAATGTATCAATTTAATGGTCACTTCAATATGTTTGTTTCGACCAGCAGGACATTTCTACAGAACATACGGCAGATTGACTGTGTCCGGCAGGCGAATGGAGCGTCTTGTGGACTTCCTGGCAAACGTTTTCCCCCCTTGTAGGCAGGTAATGGCTCTCCTGATGTCCTTGACCCAAGTCTCTCTCTCCTCCACATGTGAGGCTTGGAAGAAGTGGTCCTGTTTCTTGTCTGTGGTAATCTTGAAAACCAGCTAAATGGTGCATTATTAGTCAGTCACAGTGTTATAGTTTAGGCTTACGCTTGAGATTTTCACGCACATAAAGAAATTGACGAAACCAACAAATGCTTATTTAAAAAAAAAATAATTGATGATTCAAGTAAACTAGTATACTAGAACATGCTGCTTGTGATTATTTTTATATGTGTAGCTGATATTTTCTTACCATCCTCTTGCCAAAATCCTGACAAGGACTGATAAGTGTGGCTCCCTTTAGTGGAATCATTCCTTTTGGAGAGCTGTCTGCTTTCTTTTTATAGAATTCCAGCCCATCTTCTGACAGCACTACCCACACTGCCTTCCATGTGTTTAGCACTGTACCCTGAGGATCAGTAAGACAGGTGACCACAGGAAGCTTTGAGCAGAAGTGATAGCGGTCGAGGATGTAGTTGTTACAGAGAGCTCATTATAGGTACATTCACTTAATATTTTTGATTTATACTTATTGATTTATACATCCCTTCACCATTGCTAAAAATTCTCAAGTCAGTTAGCTTGATATGCAAATATAACCACAACAAATAGCACCACTCCTACGTTCAATGGTGACTTTCAAATCCAAGGTACTACATGGCTTTGAAATTCACTCATCACAAAAAACAAGAGAGTTAACTTTTAGTTCAGGTGAACTTTTAATTGTTAACATGAATTTCTCTCTCTCTCTCTGTAAAAAAAAAAAAAAAAAAAAATCCCCCACTCGCCCCCCACTTTGGGACGGTCTTTTATTCCTTCCTTCAAGCTCAGGTCCTCTACCAGAGGCCTGGGAGCTTGAGGGTCCTGCGCAGTATCTTAGCTGTTCCTAGGACTGCACTCTTCTGGACAGAGATCTCAGATGTTGTTCCTGGGATCTGTTGGAGCCACTCTCCCAGTTTGGGGTCACAGCCCCCAATGTTCATATTACCACAGGGACCACTTGTGCCTTCATCTTCCACATCTTTTCGAGCTCTTCTTTCAGTCCTTGGTATTTCTCAGGCTTATATATATATATAAACACATTTATGTAGTCCTCTCACTTCGTGTTTCATTTTACATCAGACAGCTTAGGCCCAAATAGCAGAATAGCAGGAAATGCAGAAGCGAATCTATAATTAAACCTTTTCATAAAAAGTATGGGGAAGTGGGATTATTGACTTTAACAACCCCTCTCTTGAACGATTTGCAATTGCGTTTATAAATATTGCTTTTCACTTGATATTATTTTGAAGACCACAAGTATGTTGTTTATCCAGTGGGACTTTCAAGTCACATTGGATAAACACGTGCTATGAGAAAAAAAAATTTACATCACTTAGGTTTGAAACAAAGTCATGTTTCAGGTCATGACATTTCCTCCCCAAGTGTGAACGTATTTGATTTTATTTTATTTATTCTTTCAAGCATGTAAAAACAGTTATGACAACACACATAATTTTACACATATCCAACAAATGCTAATCCAATATCAATTTCCTTATACCTAGTACATGCTTGAATGGAGTAGGAAGAAGTCAGACTTATCTAGTCCTACCCCATGACATCATCTTACCATCACTGGTTTGCAAGCAGTAAATGATTCACTTCTACCCACACACATATTATACTAAAAAAAGATTATAACAGTGTTAACATTCTTACATCACACAAGTGATATACTAAAGAATTATTACAAAATGTGCACCACACCCACAATTGCATATATCTTGATTGACACATACCTTTATATTTATGTTTAAACTCATCAATTCTATTACTATTTTTTATGTCTACACTTAAATTATTCCATAGTTTTACCTCACTTATGGAAATACAAAATCTTTTTTTGGTTGTACGTATAGCATGAATTTTATATACAATGGTTGAAGTGAGCTTTTGTATGTATTTCCCCAGTTTTCAACGCCAAACTCTAAGTATGGTAGAATCAATGAGGAATACAAAATTCGTAGTGCTTTCCCATCCAAAATATATCTAACCCTTGCCAATATCGATATATTTTTTGCTATTTTGTTCTGAACATATCTGATATGAGATTTCCAGGCGAATTTATCATCAACTATGACGCCTAGAAATTTAATTTCATGTACTTGTTCTATATTAGCTCCCCCAATTTTCAATTGAAGTTCATTGTCTGGTCTACGATTCCCAAATACCATAAATTTAGTTTTATCCAAATTCACACCATTTCTGTATCTTCTCAAGTTCCTGTGAAACCCGTCCAGAGAGTTGCTGTAGGTTTTCACCTGATGCCCATATGGTAGTGTCATCAGCAAACAAAACCACTTTAACTAAATTAGAAACCTTGCATATGTCATTAATGTATAGTATAAATAATTTAGGTCCCAAAACAGAACCCTGAGACACTCCACATACAATGTCCAGCTCACTCGATTGGTATTCACCCAACTTCACAAATTGACGCCTCTGTGTCAAGTAACTTCTAATCCAATTCAAACCCAATCCTCTGATCCCATATTTTTCTAACTTATCCATTAATAACTCATGATTGATTGTGTCAAATGCTTTTTTTTGTATGTAGAATAAAAACTTACAAAACACTTGTCATGTTTTACATCATTTCTGGACAGAAGCAGGAACTTGAGAAGCTGCTGCAACTGTAGAAGAGAAGTGTGCCCTTATCAAACCTGTCATAAATTTAATACTTTCTGTAATTCAATGCGTTGATGCTAACTTTTATTGCAGTTTCATTGTTTTGAAGTTTTTTTTTTATTTGCTTTGCCATGCATTTGGGCTCTTACCTTATTGTAATATTGCCCACCAAACCTCTAAGTATCTCTTGAAATTCAAAGTGTATGTACTTTTTGTTCCAGAACCAATCATAAACTTACAAAAATGACTCTGTCAGTGTAAAAAAATATGTTCAAGCTCTACAAATGCAATGCAACTGACTCCAGGAACAACATCTGAGATCTCTGTTCGGAAGTGTGCAATCATAGGAACAGCTAAGATACTGTGCAGAACCCTGAAGTTCCCAGGCCTCTGGCAGAGAACCCGAGCGTGAAGGCAGGAATAAGACCACCGGAAAGTGGGGTGAGTGGGGAATTTTATATATATACCTAAAAAAAAATTTTAAAAAATTTATTATTCTTACCTTTTTCACCAAGTACCCCTCTCTAATCTCTTCAGGCTCCATTACTCTGCTCTCTGCTGCTGTCAGCTACAACTTTGCCACTTTGAGCGACCGTCACAACTATTTCCCCTGTGCTTGCTCTCTCTCTCTTTTTCTCTGTCACTCTAGACTAAAACCACAAAGACACAAGCAGGAAGTTCTGTTGCTGGGTGTATGTTAATGATAACTGGTCATCCAGCTTCCTCTTTCCTATAGTATTATTAGTTCCAGCTACTGCTTGACTGATGTGTTTAGATTTTGTAGTGTTAACATCTAAAGCAGGCAGCTTGAAGGTTCTGATAAACAAGTATTGGACAGTTTACAGTAGAACATCTATTTTAGTTTAAACAAAGACATTTAAGTTGGAAAAAAACCTTTGGTGCACAGATGAGACCAACTTCCTCATGATTTTATATGTTAAGCAACTGCAAAAATAGATTAAACCCCTTTAGTGTGCCAGGCATATGACTGGGCAATTCCTTTGACTGGACTTGTTCATGTAGTTCCTCTATTACATCTCAAGCTATTTATTGTTGTTTATGACTGGTTGTATATGTATTTTTTGACACTGCTGTTCTCTTCTCTTACCTTTAAAATGGTGCTTTAATGTCTTAGATAAGACTGTTTTGCAACTCTATTTAAAAACTCCTTAAATAAAAAACTTTTCTTCCATATATTTACTGTCATAAGTCCAATTTGTGTGTGCGTTTTCTCTGTGTTAAATAGATCTTTATTTCCTGTGGTTTCTGTGGGCTTTCATGTTTCTTACTGATGGTTAAATTTTTTTTGTTTAACTGTTCTGTAGAATAACTAAACTTGAATGTCTTGAAAACCACTAGAAACAAATGGTTCTATTATTTGTAGCTTGCAATCACAAAAATCTCTTGACCTGATGAATACTATACTGAGCTGCAGTATGACTATGAAACATTTATATTTAGCTATGGGTGGGTGTCACTGCAGCTGAGTCAAATTTGTGTGGACATATTGTTAGAACTATAAGGGTTATTGCTCAGTTTTGTTTTGTAGTTGTAGTGAACAGGCCTGACGGAATAACAGCAGAGCGGCACCACCTTAAAAATTGGAGTACTGTTTTTAAGACGTATATAATAAAAGCACCATGTTACCTATATATTGTCTATTCATTAATCATACAGATGGGGATGTATTCTGATTTGTGCAGTCACAGTCTCCACTCTTAAAACTATTATTCTTGCTGGGATGTCACTTGAGTTGCAACAGACTTCAGACACTGCTTATCAGGTTGCAGCATGCAGTTTCACAAACTGTGGTTACTCTATGACGTGAAAGGAAGTCTTTGTATCTGAGCTGTCAGCTCTCACCATGATGGTGATCCAGCTGTTTGTGTCAGTGGAATATTGCAAGATCCAACACTGACATGACAGGCAGCGATGGCTATTCAGTGACAGAATGAGAGGGTGTAAGTTGGAGTTGTTTTAGAAAACAGTGACTGAATCAATACCTTATGTGTTGATTTTTCTTTATACCCTATTCCTCATATTGCAGTCATTTATTACAGCATACTACATAATATAATCATACACATTTTATACATGCTGTGCTTTCAGGTTAATTTGACTCTCCTAATTTGCCTGAATGAAGCAGCTACCAGGTGGTGAACACAATAACATATACATCTGTGTACTGCTCTCCAGTACAATATCTGAGCAGCAACATCTGCTACCATTGTGAATATAATGATGTTTACATTAGACTGCATTTGTATTCGAGACCTTGATTTAACCTTCTGGAAATTTTTATAGATGTTTTGTAATGATGTGACTTGAAAACTTAGTGTAATCACCACCTGCTCTATTCATGAAGCTTTCATAAGGATGGCATGAACAAATAGTATCCATCCAACCATCATCTATGCCACTTATCCTGAAGAGGTCGCAGGGGGACTGGAGCCAATCCCAGCTGACTTTGGGCGAGAGGCGGTGTACACACTGAACAGGTTGCCAGTCTATCACAGGACTGACACGTAGACAAACAACCACACACCCTCACATTCGGGCAATTTAGAGTCGCATATCAACCTAAGCTGCATGCCTTTTTCACTGTGGGAGGAAGCCGGAGTACTCGGAGAGAACCCATGCAGGCACAGGGAGAACATGCAAACTCACAGAACAAATAATATCCTTTAAAACCATTTATTTTTGTGACATTGCTTATGTTCCTCTAGAGGGCCTCATGAGCACATTTAAGCAGGATGACATCTGTAACGTGTGCTGTACTGCCTTCAGGGGTTGGACTAAAAAGAGTATGACAAGGAAAAGCTACAGTATTTCAATTGATGGGAATGATTAATCAGAAAATGTGATGCTAAAAAAAGCTAAGTGTCTTTTAAGAGTTAATAAGGTTTATGAAATCAGTTGTTGGTTGGGTATACACAATATAGGCAACTGGAGCAATAAAACCAAGCTGATAAAATTATTTAAAAGCTATCACAATAATCCTCTCAAAAGAAAGAAGGCTTAAAGTGGCTGCCTCATTTTAATAAGAAACTGTTTTTTATGATAAGCTGAGACTGTGAAAAGTCACCTTCTCAAGATAAACATAAGGGATCACAGGGACATTCTCTGTGACTGTGGCATTTCTGAACAAGAACACTGGCTATACTGTTGGCCTGTTGGACTTCAGTGAGGCTCCCCTCTTGCCAGCATTAACTGTCAACATGAGAGTCTTTTTTTGTTTGTGGTGGTGACTCAAAGGAGATTCAAGGTATTGAATGTTAATTCCCCTGGAAAAAAAGCAAGGATACAAGCAAAGAGGACACTGCAGAACATTTATAATCTCTTGTTTTTATCAAGATCAGCTATCAAGGATGACTTCAGGAAAAAAAAAACATTAACCCTGAGCTTTTTTGTAAGACACATGCATACTGGAAAAATGTAATAGCAAATGCTCACAGGAAAAAAATCACATTCATAACATTCCTTTGGTTTATTTATTTATTTTTACTGACTACATGTCATGCTGTCTCGCTTTTTCATCCATGTCTTTTTACCTATACATAGTGCACAAAACAGTATCGTAATGATATATTGTACAACTTGGGAATAGAACGAGGAAATTGATCTGTAGCACCACGTGTGAAGAGGAGACAAGTAGGGTACTGTAAGTATGATGAAACAGAAGAAACAGGGCATCTTTACACAGACCTACACACACACACACACAAACCCATTCACTCTCTTCCAATCACACAAACCCTTTTCACACCTGAAACGACTTATGAACACAGATTGTCAAACGCCCGCCAGGAGTACTTACGCATAATGTTCTGTGGCTGCAGTAATACGGTCTTGTAAGTTTCTGTATAATGCATAAAAATAGAAATGCTCTTTTCAGCTGCCTGGTGCGTCAGTAGAGTTTGTAGCTTGTACAGGTGAATATCCTGTGGTGAAAAGTAACCTAGACCTTTCATCGCATGTCACCTCCACATTCCTCCCACTCTTTTCTGTGAAAATGTAACACTTTGAAGCACAAGGTGAAACTTCTCTTCACATCCTCACTGAAAGCCACAAAGTCAAAGTTAATTTTGCACTTACAAAAAGTAGTTGCACTTCACCTCAACAGAGAATATATTGTTAGGTTGTATATCTAATTTTAATATCTCTGTGTTTGAGTGATTTGTTACAGTTTTTCTGTTTTCACTCCTGAATTATTACTAATCCACAATAATGAATAGTAAGTGTACATTAAGCTGTGATCGGTATTTCAGTATTGACAATGTGACATCATATACCTTCAATGTTAAAAGAACTGCTTTTAGTGACAAACCCACAGATAATTCTCACCTGACTCTGTAGGTACCTTCATATCTACTGAGTTTTTAGCATCTTGTAGTTCATTGCTTTGGTTTTATGACCCACAGCTTTAATGTTTAGGTTCATTCTCATTGTTCAGTGTAATTTACAGCTACAACAGGCAGCTGCTTACAGTGATAAAGCTCTGATAAACTGCCTGCATGCAGCACCACATGGCAGGCAGACAAGGTAACTAGCAACTAAGTGCACTAATGTAGGTGTAGACTGGATTGGTTTCTTCAGGAGTTGGTGGAGACCAAAACAGAGCTAAATAGAGAATAAATATTGAACTTGCATTCAACAGGTTTTCACCAACATAACTCTAATGTTGTTCCACATTTGCTGGATGTGTAAAGAGTTTGCAAACGAGTTCATCATTAAAGAGTGATAATATATCAGTCTTTGCGGCTTGTTTCAACTGAACCCAAGTGGCTACAAACTCATCTAATTCAGGTTCATATACAATACTGAGGTGCTTATCCTTCACTTGAGTATTTATATTTCATGCTACTAAATACTTTTTGTCCACTACTGTATTGTTACGGCTTTCTATGTAAAGTTTGCGTGTTCTCCCTGTGCCTGCGTGAGTTCTCCACGGGTACTCTGGCTTCCTCCCACAGTCCAGATACCGAAGCAGTGTATGTGGGTGTGTGTGGTTGTCTAACTCTAAGTGTCAGTCCTGTGACTGACTAGCAACCTGTCCAGGGCGAACCCTGCCTCTCACCCAGTGTCAGCTGAGATTAGCTTCAGCCACCCTCCTCAGGATAAACGGTACAGATAATTGATGGATAATTGAATATTTGTGTACACAAAACATATGACCAAAATGTAAAATATGATGCATTCTTATGTATAATTAGGTAAAAGTAATTCCATTTTAACAAGATACACAATTTAAAAGTTGCTTGCAATTAATCTGTAATAATAATCCAGTTATATCATTATATCAACAATATGCTGACAGGAGCCACTCTACTGTACCTAGTGAGTATTTTCACTTCACTGCAGGAAATGTTTTTGACAAGGAACTGCATTTTTCCCGTGATGTGTTGTTTTCATTCTGTGTTATTACCACTTTTATTTTTATAAAAGAACCGACTGCTTCTTCCCCCACTGCTAATATACTACCGGCAGTACAGGATGAGTTCTATGCTGCTAAAGCTCCACTTTAGTGATCACTTCCATTTTTCTTCCTCATATTGAACAGAGCAATAAATACTGCATGTGTTGTTCCCTCTGTTGCCCTTTGCCATAGCTCT